CCAAGCGCGAGCACTTGGAGCTCACAGAGCAATACAAGGTGGGAGTTGGGGCCTAGACCCAGCAAAGAGGAGAAAGGAAAGATGTCATTGGAGTTCTTACGATGGCCCTTGCACCAAGGAAATAGGCTTAAGGGTAACAAGTGAGACTAAGCTTTATATGATAAGAGGATGTCCTAATTTGTAATAAGACTCAGTTCTTTGGACTGAGGAATACGGCATAATGCCAGGTAACAGTATCTCCATTCAGCTTTTTCAAGGAAGGTGGCAGGCCAGAGGCGGGGGAATATAATGTGAAGCCTGAGTTTTGCCTTCCAGGGGCTGTCTCGGTCCCATGGGGACCTCACAGAAGAGAGGGACATCCTGAGCCAGCAGCAGGGGGAACATGTGGCGCGCATCCTGGAGTTAGAGGATGACCTCCAGACCGTCAGTGACAAAGTGCTGATGAAGGAAGTGGAGCTGGACAGGTACGGGTGCCTCGCCAAGGCCTCCACTACATTCCCGGTTCAGACGGGCATAGCTGCCGTCTGCCCCACTGCTCTCTCTGGCCCTTCACAATCTCATACGAGGTATTCTACGTACTAGGGGTTTCTTTCTGCCAGCCCTCATCCATCGTTCCTAACGTTACGTATGCTATGTTTCTCATCTTCAGAAAGATGAGTTGTATATATTGTATGGCAGAAGCTAGACAGAATTAGAGATGGAATATTTACAAGACGAGATTGGAAAGGACAGTCAATGGAAGATAAGAAGGTTGATTTCAGACCTTACTACAGGGTAATGCAAGTGGGCAGCTGAGGCAAGCATCACTTGAGTCTAGCCTGGGAAACATAGCAAGACTTTCAATGTAGTCACAGAAATAAGTTGTGTATGTATATGCAGAAGATAAATAAATTACATATTTAAAGCACAGGAAAAGAATTAGATTCCATCCTTGCTATTGAAAATGTTGATTGTCACAGCTCAGCGGTAAGGATACCTAATTGAGTGTGGGCAAGGCCCTAGCTTCAGTCCCAGCACTATATAAAAAAGAGAAATGTTGAAGCTCATGATCTGAGAGTATGACAAAAGGTATAAATCACTGAATCTTTTTGTTGGTTTGCTTGTTTTTGTTCTTCTCACTGTGTTGCTCTAGCTGTCCTGGAACTCACTATGTAAACCAGACTGTCCTCGACTCCCAGAGATCTTCCTGCCTTTGCCTCCCAAATGTTGAGACTCAAAACATGGGCCACCATGCCTGGCCAAATCACAGAATCTTAACACTGAGAGTAGGCCGGGCAGTGGTGGCGCACGCCTTTAATCCCAGCACTCGGGAGGCAGAGGCAGGCGGATCTCTGTGAGTTCGAGGCTGGGCTGGACCGACAGCCTCGAAAACAATACAGAGAAACCCTGTCTCGTAAAAAACAAAAACAAAAACAAACAAACAAACAGAATCTTAACACTGAGAGTGACATATGGTGTGTAAGAGAAAGCCACTCTCAGGGTAACAACAGCATCAAACAGCTGTCACTTCTGTATCCCTTGTATAGAGCCAAACTCTACCTATTGAAGAGACAGAGACAGGAAGATGACAAGTTAGACCTTCCTGAGCTACATAGACCAGCCTGGGCTATATAGTGACTTATAGACCAGCCTGTACTACTTATAGACAAGCCTGAGCTATATAGGGTGTTATAGACCAACCTGGGCTCTATAGTGAGTTACAGACCAGCCTGGGCTATGTAATGAATTATAGACAAGCCTGAGCTACACAATGAATTATAGACCAGCCTGGGCTACATAGTGACTTATAGACCAGCCTGGGCCATATAACTAACAAGTCCCTGTACTTAAAAAAAAAAAAAAAGGAAGAAAGAAAAGGAAAGAACACAGTTATCATAGTTATGTCTATCAAATAGCATAAATACTGATCAACACCCATGCCTGTCTTCAGATTCTTTACTATGTTCAACACCCCAGTTCTTTGTTTTGGGGGGGTTCGAGATGGGGTTTCTCTGTGGCTTTGGAGGCTGTCCTGGAACTAGCTCTTGTAGACCAGGCTGGTCTCGAACTCATAGAGATCTACCTGCCTCTGCCTCCCAAGTGCTGGGATTAAAAACATATACCACCACTGCCTTGGGGTCCCCCCCAATTCTTTTGTTCGTCAAAGAACATCATTAGGTTACTTTCATTCAGCATTGTTGGATCTTTCTTTTAAACAACAACAGAAATCTTTGTAAAGGAAAGAGAAATTCTGCCCAAGTCTCAGGGCAGTAAGTAAAGCTATCCAAGAGGTTGCTTCATAATGTACTAGCCTTGCCCTAGGTCAGTACAGGTGTCCATGTTCTCAGAGACATCTGGACCAAGAGCCAACAGACTATGCTTCAAATGCCTCATCTAGCCTACTACCTATGTTCTTACATGATTTGGAGGCTGCTGATGAGATAAAAGAAGAATAATGAAAATGGTAAGAAATTCAAATGTCAGTGTTCATTAAGTAAGGTTTTATTGGATCATGCATATCCCTGCACACACTGTCTATGGCCTCTCTCAAGTCTGCCCCATCTGATCTACAGCAAGTTTAGAATCAATAGTGATTGTCCATTGTCTTTGAAAGATTGGATTTTCATCTCTTAATTGAGTGGAAATAGGGACCCATTGCTACAACATTCTGTACAATGATACATAAAAAGGGAAGAAACAAGGCATGGCGGCACACACCTTTAATCCCAGCACTCCTGAGGCAGAGGCAGGCGGATCTCTCTGAGTTCAAAGCCAACCTTCTCTACATAGTGAGTTTCAGGACAGCCAGGGCTATATAAAGAAACCCTGTCTCAAAAAAACAAATAAAAAAAAAACCAACGAAAGAAAAGCAGTTTGTGATTATGCTCTAGAAAGCATGGGTCTGAGGTCTGAGTATTTCAGCCCAGCACTGTGGTTCCTATTTGTTGAGTATTTCAGCCCAGCACTGTGGTTCCTATATGTTGACAGGGTTAGAGACACAGTGAAGGCCCTGACTCGGGAACAAGAGAAACTCCTGGGGCAGCTGAAGGAAGTCCAGGCAGACAAGGAGCAGAATGAGGTAAGAGAAGCAGGTTTGCTTTCTTTCTGCTGTTCAGCTAGTGTTCATTGAGTCCCTTTGGAATGCTGGGCACCCATGAAAGTAGAGACCCTGTGTACTCTGTTCCACAGTACAGTACCTGCCCAAACCACAAAGTATCGACAGAAAAACCTAATCTAGTCTTACAGGGTTCCAGAGAGGTAGATGAGAACACAGCTCATTAGACTTTGGAAGCAGCTATCAAGTGTTTCTTATAGTGATGGCTGGAGAGGATCCCTGGTGACCAACCAGTCTAACAAATGAGCAAGTAGAGAACAATCGAGGAAGACCTCCAATGTCAAAGTTAGCCTCTGGTCATGGGTGAACACACGCATATACATGCACACACACATAAGTGCAAAGGCTATCAAAAGGGCCAGGCGTGATGGTATGCTTGTCATTGTGATCTAGCACTCAGTAGGCCGAGGCAGGAGGATTTTGAGCTCAAGGCCAGCCTAGGCTAAGACTATCTAGGTAGGAAAGAGAGAAGGAAGGAATTCAAACTTGAATACTTTGAGTCACAGACAAGTAGGAGGTAAATGATAACAGTTTTTAAGCTGTCAACCTTATAGTCCCAGTTAACTCTTCAATTTGATAGAAAATACAAAGAGATTTTATCCTGAGGATTACATAAAAATAAATTAACCTAAAAGCACACATCAATGGATCGGTGCTCTCCAGTGTGTTGCCTTGTATTTTGATGTGCTTCTAAAAACAGTTTTTAATAATTTAGAACAAGGTTAAAGCTGTAATTGTAGTTCAGTGTTGAGCAAGGCAAAAAAATTGATGAATTCAAATAAAATTTTTGCAGAACCTTCAGTGGCTTTCTCAGAACCCTGGGCTTCTCTAGAAAACTGCCCAGCAGTAAAAAAAAAATGGAATTTGAGCAGGGTGTGATGGTACTATAATTCCAGCACTGGAGAGACTGAGGCAGGAGGATTGCCACAAGCTTGAGGCAGCCTGGGCTATAGCAAGATCTTGTCTTAATAATCTAAAACAATACAAACAAAGAAGTGGGTTAAATTAAGTAGAACAAAGAAAGATGCAAGGAACAGCCAGAGGGGACATGTGTATGCAGAGTTTGAGGTAAGATATGCATCATACTGTGGAGGATCTGGAGTTGAGCCTTTTTTCTTTAAGCGGTGAAAAGTGCCTAAAGAATTGTACTGAGAAGCACTGATCACCTGCTAGAAAATAACTAGTTACAGCACTACCCAGTCATCCCACGAGAACAGCCACGCCTGAGCTAATGTGGTAATGGCAGTAATAGACAGGAGAGGATGGCTGTGGCTAGGATGGAGAGTGGAAAAGCTTTTGCTTTCGTCTGTGAACTGCTAGGGAGAGAAGAGATCCAAGCATAGCACTTAAGTGTCCAGCTAGGTGAACTGGAAATTGCTCAGTACAGCAGACAGAAGTGACAGAGGTCCCAGGAAAGGCTAGGCACAGTAGCATGCGCCTGTAATCTCAGCATGCAGGTAACAGAAGCAGGCAGAGGATTGTGCATTCAAGGCCAGTTTGGACCTATTACACAGTATGACCACAGTGCAGGGAGAGGGAATAGAGGCAGAGACTCGGGGAAGGGAGAGAAGGGGAAGGAAAGGTCTGTGGTGAGAGGTGCAGTATTCTGAGCTTTAGGAGCCATTCAGACTGTTGTGAGTCAAAGGAAAAGTAGGAAAGCAGAGTGGGTTGTGGGATGTCTCCATGTAAGACCCTAAGAAACAGTGATGCTCTGGGCACATCATTTGGGAGCTGGAAACTAGAGGTTCAAGATTGAGACCCTTTGAGCTGAGGACCCAAGAAGAGCTGGCAAGAGCTGAGTGTTTCCACTCGTGTTGAATCTAGAAACGGACCTTGCCTTCTCTCATCCCAGGACCAAGAAGGCAGCCTGCCCCTGGAATGCCAGCACTTATTCCCTGCTCCCTACCTGCTTTCCTCTTCCATCAGGTCGAGCTCCAGATGGTCCAAGAGGAGAACCGTCGCTTAACTGTAGAGCTGCGGGAGGCCAAGGGCCAGCAGGAAGAGCAGGGTGCTCAGGTTCAGCGGCTGAAGGACAAGGCGGCCCACATGAAGGATGCCCTGGCCCAAGCACAGCAGACAGTGGTGAGGGATGCCCTGCAGATGGTAGGGGCAGCGAGAGTTCCAGAGCAGTCTAGAGAGGGCAAAGATGGCCAAAGTCAACAGCACAGTCCCGGGTCCTGATGAGGGGTCCCTCATTCACACGTGGTTGCCTGGGGGATCTGATCTCTGTCCTTTTTCTCTGGAGGCTGAGCTGGAGCCCCTGAAAGAACAGCTTCGAGGAGTCCAGGAACTTGCAGCCTCAAGCCAACAGAAAGCTGCCCTTCTTGGGGAGGAGTTGGCCAGTGCAGCAGGAGCCAGGGACCGCACCATAGCCGAGCTACACCGCAGCCGGCTGGAAGTGGCTGAAGTCAGTGGCCGACTGACCGAGCTCAGCCTGCACATGAAGGAGGAAAAGTGCCAATGGAGCAAGGAGCGTACAGGGCTGCTGCAGAATATGGAGGTAGAGGGCGACCCTTTCTGCCTACCTCAGGAACCCTGGCCTTTAGTCAGGAGCTCTGGGAGGAGGGAAGAGGGGATGAGATCCTTGGAGGACTTGAGCAGAGGTACTGTTTGCTTTCCAGCCATGAGCCGGCCCTACGGGGGAATCCCAGTCCTGATCTCCAAAACACCTTCCCTAATAACTGGCCTTGGTGTAGGAACATTCACTGTCATGGGCACCAGGCCCTGCCATAGTGCCCATTCCTGTAGCACAGAACCTTGCTGTCATGTCCTGTCCTGCTTTAATGGGGACCAGAAGTGAGGTTGTTGCTCAGAAACCGTTTATCCCCAGGCGTAGAAGAAAGGGACCCAGTGAGTGCAGTGCTGTTTCCCTGGCCTCCCTGGCCACTTCACCTCCTCCCTCCCGTCTTTCTCTGCACCATCTCTAGGCTGAGAAGGACAAAATCCTGAAGCTGAGTGCAGAGATCCTGCGGCTGGAGAAGACAGTACAGGAGGAGAGGAGCCAGAGCCACATACTCAAGACTGAGCTGATCCGAGAAAAGGATTCTAGCCTGGTGAGCTGCCCTACCAACCTGGGTTCAGAGCTCTGCCCTGATGTATTCATGCCCCTTTCACTGTCTTTGGCTCTGAAGTACCATGTCAAGCCTCTTGGTTTGAGTGTGCACATTCCCTTTCTGCTCACAGAGTCCCATCTGGGCCTGGAGGGATAACATAGGGAGCCTCTTCATCCAGCCTAAGACAGTTGCCTAGGACTTTGGCCTGAGCCCTGGGGGCCAAGGCAAGGGCCTTGTGGATGAGGCACTTTGTGTGTGGCCCAAGAGAAAGCCTAGATTCTTAGTGGCACATTGCAGGCTCCAGGATCCATGACCCTTTCCCCTCAGGTGCAGTTGTCAGAGAGTAAACGAGAGCTGACAGAGCTGCGCTCAGCCCTCCGTGTGCTTCAGAAGGAAAAGGAGCAGCTGCAGGCGGAGAAACAGGTAAGACTCACCTGTAGTTCAGGCCTTGGATGCCAAAGCCAAGGGCTTAGAGACTCAAACTTCTGAATCATCTTGGTAATCCCTTGGCTCAGAAACTGGAATCTCTTTGAGGATGCAAAAGCTGAAAAATGGTCCTGACTCCTCTTAGGAACTAACTTTGTGCAGGCGAGGAACACCAGAAGGGATCGAGATGCAGGGGAGAGGAAAGCTCCCAATTAAGGGGATCTGCCATGTGTGACTGCACCCCATGGCAGAAGCTCTATGATGCTATCTGGGAACAAGGAAAGCCCAGGAGGCCAGCAGGGTTGACCTCTTTCGGGCTTTGGCAGCTGCCTTTTTCTTCCCCAACTCCAGGAATTGCTAGAGTACATGAGGAAGCTGGAGGCCCGCCTGGAGAAGGTGGCAGATGAGAAGTGGAATGAAGATGCTGCCACAGAGGATGAGGAGGCTACTGCTGGACTGAGTGTGTCTCCAATCTGTGACACCTCTTCCCCTTCCCCCCTCTTTGAGGAAAGCCCCAAGTGATTCCTATTGAAGCATCCTAGCCTTCCCTTCCCATTCCTGGGGCCCTCTGCAGTTGAACTGTCTCCCTCCTTAGATTCCTATGGCTGAGCTTGCTTCTCTTCTGCATTCCCTCCCATAGGCTGCCCTGCAGCTCTGACAGACTCAGAAGATGAGTCCCCAGAGGACATGAGGCTCCCGTCCTATGGCCTGTGTGAGCATGGAAACACAGGCTCCTCTCCTCCTGGGCTCCGGGAGGCGTCTTCACTTGTTGTCATCAACCAACCAGCACCCATTGCTCCCCACCTCTCCGGGCCAGGGGAGGACAGCAGCTCTGATTCAGTGAGTAGTAGGAGCCCACATGCACAGCTGTAAGCAGGCAGTAGGGTCACACAGAGGCCAGGCAGAAAGTCTGCACCCTACAGCATTCTTACTCTGGGCTGCAGGAGGCAGGCCGGGCCTCTCTTCAAGACTGCTAACAGAATGATCATGATCCCAGGCCAGCTCAATAATCTCAATACTTCCAAGCCCTCTCCCTCACCTCCTCCCCTCCCCCACCAGCCCTGACAAAACCCTATTCCTGCCTCACTCTTCCTACCACCCCTCTGTCGGGCGTCGGCCTTGGTTTCTCGGCCTATATCTGCCCGAGTGCTTCCACCTCAGAGCCACTCAAAGCCAGCCCTGTCTCTTTGGTGCCAGGAGGCTGAAGATGAGAAGTCAGTGCTGATGGCGGCTGTGCAGAGTGGAGGAGAGGAGGCTAATCTTCTGCTTCCTGAACTCAGCAGTGCCTTCTATGACATGGCCAGGTGAGCACAGCACAGAGAGGGAGGAGGTCAGTGTGTGCACAGCCACCATGCCCTGCCCCCAAGCCCCTCTTCTTGGCTCGGAAGGTACCAGTGTGGTTGACAAAGATGTCAGCTACCTCCACAGATCCCAGGTGGCTTCATGCTCTCTCATTCTCCCTGCCTTTGACTGGCTTCTATGTTGTTCTAGTGTCATCTTCCGTGGAGCCCAAATTGCCCTGCTTCCCCTCTCTCCTGCCCCTACCCCCTCCCCATCCACCAGGTAGGTACCTATGTCTTCAGGGAGGAAGGTGTACAAGGCCTCGGAGATGGAGATGGAGAAAACCACCATCCAGCACCTGTATGGCAGTGCCTGAGTTGTTCCTCATCTCTGACTTCCTGGGAGACTCTGGGAGGGGAACCTAGTGGGGGCAGTTGGGGGTCAGGTATCAGGTGGTGCCTTCTGCCCAACTTTCTAGTCCTAGTTAAGTAGCAGATCCTTAGGGAAGAAAGCATTATCACCTGGCCCCAGCTCTGCCTGGAGTAAGTGGGCCTCGGGGCAGAAAGGACCGATGCTGTCATCTCTCTCTTCACGGAGACAGGGCTGGGGCAGGAAGATGAAGAACGGTGTCAGACTCATTTTCAGCCTCATTAGGCAGCAGACGGAGATGGAGGGTGGAGAGTAGGATATTGGGGGATGGGTTATGTGCTATAGACACCAGCAGGGACTCATGAAGAGAGAGCATAGGCATCTGAAGAACGAAGACATCCAGTATCATGAGCAGAAAAATGTCATAGGAGAGGCTTAAACCGGGAGTGACCAGGATGGCACTTTAGGGACAGTAAAACACATGGATCTTGTTCCCTGAGATCCCCAGGTCAGGAAGGCAACAGAAGTTGGGCATTGTGGTGCCTGCCTGAAATCTGAACCCTTGGGAGGGAAAGAAAGGAGAATCAGAAATTCAGGGGTCACCCTCTGCTACATGGCAAGTTTGAGGCCCTATATCAAAGATAAAAATAAAGGCATCAGAGTACCCTGACCCTCTCAAATTTTCCTGCTCTCTCTTTAGTGGCTTTGCAGTGAGTTCCCTGTCAGAGGCCAGCACTGGGGTCTCAGCCACCCCTCCATGGAAGGAATGTCCTATCTGTAAGGAGCACTTCCCTGCTGAGAGTGACAAGGATGCCCTGGAGGATCACATGGAAGGACATTTCTTTTTCAGCACCCAGGACCCTTTCACCTTTGAGTGATCTCACTCCTCCCTAGTATGTATACACACACACACACACACACACACACACACACACACGTGTGTGCATTTGGGCTCCTGCCTATTTTCCATCACACTGGGCTCTGTGATGTTCTGCTCCTACAAACCATGCCTGCATCCTACTTTCATCCCAAGCTTTATAACTCCATCCTCTATGCTGACTCCTCTGTCCCAGGCGGGTATCTGTCTTGGAAGGAGTGGCTGAGTTTACTCTCTGAAGACAGTTTGGAGGAAACAAGATGAAGGGGGCTTTCCCTTGTGTGAACAGAATTATCCCCTGCGAGCCCAAGTACATAGCTACATACCACGTATTACACCCCCTTCTGATGCCCCAAAGCCAACTCCTGGGGCACCCACCCTCTCCTATTCAGTTTATTTACTGGTTTTTGTTTCTGTTTTTTCTGGGACCTGCATGGAGGCAGCAGCATGGGCTCATGACCTCATCGGGTCTTTTTCAGTTCTTGGCTTCTCTAGTTCTTTCTATTGCCTACTGCTTTTCACATCACCCCAGTGATCCCATAGCCTTAGGTCTTAAGTTTGGAAGCTTCTTTTGTATTTTTAAGGATTCATGTACCTTCTTATGCCACCCCACACCCAAGTCCTCAAATGGAAAAGAAAATGCATTTGTGCCTTTTGTGAGGGATGGGGGACAAGGGATTCCAGGTGCCCCCATTTCCCAGACTCTTACCTTCTGCAAGCCCCCCACAGCAATAAGAACTCCCCCTTCTCCTTTAAACTGTCCTCTCACCTTCAGTTTGGACAAATATATTTATATGATACGTGTAACTGTTGTCATACTGTGTTCTGGTCGAGAAGCATTACTACAAAAAAGGAGCATCAAGTTCCACACTGGTGGGAGGGAGGGAGGGAGAGGAATGATAGGTCGGTACATTTTTTTTTTTTTTTTTGGTTTTTCGACACAGGGTTTCTCTGTATTGTTTTGGAGGCTATCAGTCCAGCCCAGCCTCACAGAGATCCACCTGTCTCTGCCTCCCGAGTGCTGGGATTAAAGGCGTGCGCCACCACCGCCCAGCGGTCGGTACATTCTTACTGGGCCTTCTGGACAGGCAGCTGAAGTGTGATTTAGGCAGAGGGACGAGTTCA